GACTAGTTAGATACTCTAGAAGGTTATTAATATACTTAAGTTTAAGTATTATAAGGGGAGAGTTCTTTATATTAGTAAGAGGGATAGATATAGTTAGTTCCTAACTAGTTAGTAAGTAATTAAGAACTGCTTCTTATAGAAAGGGTTATACCTCTATTTCTTTATTAGTATTATCCTATCTAAAGAGGTTATTATTAAGATAAATACTTAACTTAGTAGGTTCCATCTTAAAACTACTTAAAAACCAGTTCCTAAGTGCTTAAAGAAAATATTAATATATAAAGATAAAATAAGTAAAGGTAAAATGAATTCCAGCTGCAAATATAAAGTATTAAATAGGTTATATAAGATTAAGCTACTGAGTAATTAGCTTGGCAGTCATATATTAGGGGTATAGGTCACGTAAGACTCCAGAGTAGCTCAGTTGGGCTGTATACACACCCTTAATTAATAAATGTAAATATGGAGTATTACTCAACGCAAATAAACACAGGCCCTATTTTGAGGCATGCATGCCAAATATGTATAAAGTTGTATATATCAAGCTACAATTCTCTTCCAGGACAGAACGGCTACGCTGATTGCCAGAACCTGAATTAAGCTTCGATTCCAACTCGCCCAATCACATAGAAGAGCATTCTATGTCGACTATGCCAACGTGACAGCCTTAGATACTACTTTTGGGATCCAGGCTGTATGGCTAACAACGTTGGAATGTCGCCGTAGAAGCCCACGCGAGATTGTTAGGACTTCACCCGGAGCTCTATCTGGGCAGGAACGCCAGCATGTCCTACAGATCACTCTCCAAATGATTGCTGGTAATTCCGATCTTCTACTACATGAACGGTGCACACCCTGGTCCCTTATTAGACTACGGTCCTGGTATCTGAGATGACTGCTCGACTGAGGCCTTACTTTCCAGATGTCTCGTAAGACCACAGCAATGCCGAGCACCGCAAAGAAAGCATGTCGTTGTTCGAGGGAGAGGAGTCGGGCTTAAATAGATGATATGGATGTGTAGAGACCACAAGGTGCAGTACTCAGTAGCATAGCGCCTCGGTGGTGGTGCGCGGCGGTTCAATGAGGGCTATTTTCAGCGCTAACGGTGGCATCATATAGGGTGGTCCGGAGCAGCTATGGCTAGCTTATTTAGTTTGTATTGACTATTACTCCTCTAGGTGTTCTTGTAGATGGGATTCTAGGGCCACCCGATCTTGGCATTGTTGCACCTTGGGCTTTATATAAGCTTATACGCCTGTTGTTTTTCGGTTCTCTTTTCATTTCCCCTTTCATTTTCAACCAACGCTGAATTAAAGCCGAACGAGCCTATACGTCCTATTAGCTGGTCGGCTGTTGATGCCTTTTGGCCTCTACATTTCATACACCCTAGTTTCTTAAAACCTCTCACAACACAAGATGTCACCTACAGAGCCACCTTCAGGGTCGCCTGAGTTCGATCGCTGGCGTTTCTCACTTCCAGAGCCACCTCTATGGTGGCGTGTGTACGCATACTGAGAAAAATGTCGTCCAAAATCTCTTTACTAACGTCTTTAGTATCTTGCTGATTCTCGCCGTCGGTTCATTTGTTCCCCAGATATTGCTCATCCAGAGGAAACGAACCATTAATGGAGTTTCTTCGATGACCACCTTGTCGAACTTGCTTATCGCCACTGAGCATCTCTCGATCTATATATTCTTACTATTTGTTGGTAATGAACAAGATGGCCACCCTTCTTTCTTTCTACATTACCCCACAAGCGCAGGGGACAGGTTTAGTTTGTGGCACTGTGCTGTGGTCACAATCCTTTTTGTGGCATTGTGAGATCTCATCCTAATGTCCATAAGCAATTTGGGTAAATACTCATATTTGTCCTGCAGATTCGTACAAATTCTCATCTATAGCAACCGGAGGTTACTCTTGGTTGCCACTTACACCATCTATCTCCTTACATCGATCGTTCCTCTGATGGTTATTAATTCCATCCCCGACCATGGACCTCAAAGTCTTTGGTCAGCAATTTTTTACGGCGTGCACTCCATCTGCATTTACCCAATTCTCACGGCGCTGGGTGTTCTGGGGATCTTCTGTCAAGCTCGTGAGATCTTGGTTGCACCAATTATAAATGCGCTGAGTGTGCAGGGTTTCGCTATGCAAACTCTCATCTTCACTCTCGTCTCAGTGACATGGATACCGTGTCTTCCATTTCCGTATGAGAAGTTGGAGGGTCATTACAATTGGAATACCTTTACTGTGTGGTACGGAGCTGTTGGTTTTATCATCGTTAACAGCTTTGTCTTCGCCCTCGGCCAGGCAGTGCTTCTGTTATTGGCCTTGCATCGCTCATCTTCGAGCAAAGCCACTGTACAACGGGGAACCGAGACAGAGCCGCTTTTGAGACATCCCGCAGAGATGTGAATGCCCAGATATTATTATAGCTTTCAAATGATGCCTTGTAAGCAAGGATCTCATTCAACCACTGTAAACTCGATCGAGTTACTAGCCGGCACCACAAGCCCTGGCCGGCCCCCATTATCTTTTGGATCGCGAACCCAGTCATCAATCCACACCACAGTATCCTCATGATCGCTAAGGTGTCCCCAATCCCACCAGTCAAGCTGGCCTCCCTTGAACCGGTACCGGTATTCATCACCAGGCGCTACATGCTTCGGGAAATGAGTCACCTTTCGCGTGAATGACCACGACTCACCAGGCACCAGGGTCGCAAATTCATCCTGGTCGGTGCGGCCAACATTTACCGGGACCGGCTTGGACCATCTGTACTTGTGGTACGTAAATATTTCCGGAATTTCATGTGGGCTCCAGTCGTCATCTCCCTTTTTCCTAAAGGAGAGCCTGAAGCCTTGCTGGCTATCGAGATATTTGAATATGAAAGTATGAAATGTGACTGGCTTTCCGTCTAAGCCATCCGGAGCTGCATCATACGAGAGTGTCATTGTGACCGGATAGCGTAGCCGACTGGTTGGATCACTGTCTCTCATCGATAGCGTAGCAGGTCCTGCGATGGTGAGGCTGAAGACCGGGGCGCCACTCATCCTGGAAGGTGCCAGAATGGGTGCGGGAGAAGGCGGCAATGAGGGTGGCTCTTCTTCTATATCGGCTTCAATAAAACCGACGCTCAGTAGCTGTTCTGGTCCGTCCGGGAGGACCACAGGGGGTTCCTTGGGGCCGAGTGTGCGGCCACTGTGCTGCGCTAATGTGCCCCAGTCCCACAAAGAGATTTGGCCGCCTACCCAGCGGATTCTGTAATTGCGTCCTTGTTCAAGGGCATTAAAGTAGATAGAGGGCAAGTCCAACTCCCAAGAGACGCTGGAGCCTGGGTACAGTTCTTTGAAGCAGGGGTCGGACTGGGAAACCTCCCTCGGTTGGAAAGATTTTGCCCGCAGTTGGTTAGAGTCGACTTGCAAAGGTCCCAGGTCCTCCGTGAAGTCATAATTAGAACGGATTAGCATTATACCCGGCTGGCCAAATGCATCCTCAACAGGGTCCCAGTGAATGATACATGGTTGTGTCTGGGGATCATCTCCATCCCGCGTGATTGTGATGATGAGGTGGTATGACGTGTCAAAGCAGGGATCGAGACCTGATTTTCCTTCCAAAGTAAGAGTAAGACGTGGAGGAGAAGACCTCACAAAAGAAGAGAGCTGGCCCATTTGTGCGGGAGTCAAATGAAGTAAGTGGTGCGTGTGGGTGGAAGTTGTTGGGTGATTTGGGCCACTGAGGCCATCGAGGCAGTTATTTATACGAATCATCAAGTGCACTAAGATCGTTAGTCCCTGTCACATGAGTCATGACGGATAGGCGCCTGTAACTATCCTCTCATGGGTTCCCTGTAGCGAGTAGCGTCGCTAAGTCTTTGAAGTGATTCACTTGCTTACTCATTACATTGACTGATAGATGGAGCCTAGGTAGAGGCGTGGAAGAGAAGGTAAACCCGCTTGCATGCTTTCACCTATCACAAGGATACGAGAACACGAGGAGCAAACTGTTTGGACAAGGGCAATGCTGTCAAGCTGTAGAGATGAAGGAGGAAGATTTGACAACTTGCCAGAGAGAGAAGAAGAAAGTCGGAGTCGTATAGCTACAGAGTAGACGAAGCAGGCAAATCAAGTAGATGTGTAGAAAAAGGAAAGAGAAAGGGAGGCGTCTGGACAAGAGTGCTGGTGATCACAGTTGCTTAAAATTCCGTTATAGCATCAATCTTTTCCAGGATAGCATCACGGTCAAGTCCCATTCCAGGACTCCGTAGATGGAAAGTTCTAATCTGTCGAGTAGCACACCGGTCGTTGATATGCTGCGAGTTCACATCCCCCTCTCTGATGGCCTGGGTGGCATTCCCGTATGACTAAGCCATTGGCCCATTCGGGTCTTCCTTGATTGCAATAGAAGCCAGACGCAGGAACTTTTCGTAGGGATCTGGATCCGAGCCTATCGTTGCTGGCAAGTTGACGCCTCTGGAAGGTTGATCCCAGTCTGCATAAGGGAGGCAAGATCGGCGATATCGGACGATGTGACAACGTTGTTGTCTAGAGAAAAGTCAGGCCAGCCACTCAAAAAGAAGTAGGTGTTTGGAGCCTGTTTGTCGGGCTCAAGAATCTATGTACTGGTCGATCTACGCAGATTCCCAATCAGACTAGTGGTGAATATACTATATTAGATTGGATCTAGAACTGACCACTGTTACACTGCCACAAAATCCATTACCCTTAATTAGCTAGCATGCCAGGGGTTTGTTCACTAGAGCGAGTAGTTCACCTTGTAGCACATCGCAATTTCCGGCCCTGCGGCCTGCAGTCTTCCCTCGGTACCTACCTCGAGACGTGGTCACTTGCCTGGCGGTCTGATTGTTGCTGCGATATATTGAAAGACGACGCTTGTGGTTCAATGACCGTCAAGATCAGTCGTAAACTGAAGAACGACATCAAACGCTGGAAGAGAGGCAGCATAAATGACAACAACAATAACTTCAGCGTCAGGCAGCAGTGCACAATTCCCCAGTCCGGAAAGCAATTTCTACAAAGTTCTACAGGAGGAGAGCTGCTACTTCGAGGCCATGACTGTGAGTCTGTGGCATGTGGGATGGTTCTGTCGCAGAAGATCAGCCATGTACACCGATATTCAGGCACCATGGCTAGTTATTAATTCTGAAGAGGTTACCGCACTAGCTTACATTCTAATGAACTACATAATCTGCATCTCTATAATCCAGGAAGCACTGGTCTATAGAACCGTGAGCACATATAGAACGTAATATCTGGATGTAACCAATATAACACCCCTTATAGTTATCTTCTCTCTTTATAGCTAGCTATCATGTATGGTAACAAACTCTGACCTATGTTTCTCTCACTCTAATCCAACTGTTTCTTATGATTGCTTATTTCGTAAACACTTTGCAGCCCAGTTGTTCTCACTGATCGTGGATAATATTGCCAGACTACGGAAATACTCACCTTCCTGGCGTGTGTTGACCCCGTTGAGCTTAACCAGGAGCTGATACAGGAATCTTTAAATGGCGCTTGAGAGAAATCCAGCTGCCGATTTGATGGCACTCATCACTGATATCGCGAGAAGCATCAAGAATCACAATCCCAAGGTCTGAATACAGATACAGCAAAGCTCAACCAAAGGACCTTGAATCAGCTCCAATTCTGAGTAAGCGACGATCCCGATATCGACTTACTGTCGTTTTTCCCTCCGATCTACGGTCGACGTTATCGATGCGCGACTCAGCGGACGCAGGGCACTCGCTACTTGGACCCTTGCGACAACTGCTGTGGACTGCCAAAAGCGATGAAAGATCCTGTAAGGGGTGTCGTGGTGAAGTGAGATGATGACCTCGTTGCAAAAGCTGTCGTGATGAGCGGTGACTACACAGAGTACACGATTCTGAGGACCTTGCTGGACGCGAACGAAAGATCACTGCTCCAAAGCCCCATGGCTTAAGCAGAGTTGGAGGTATTGCATTATTTTCGTGACCTACATCCTGTCGATGTTGTTAACTAAGGCGTGGCCTACCTCAGGTATCAAGACAAGGTGTCTGTTCAGCATCATCTGGATAATATCTTGTGCCAATTGAGGACACTTCAAAGAGACGACTAGTATTTAGAATGCGCTAAAAGAAAAAGAATCGAGGGCTACACCGACAGAGCAATACTCAGCTTACGTCCCGGATGTGAGGATCTCGCACATATTACTCCGCAGTAAAATCCATTCTTTCCTTGCAGATCCTGTCCAGGGATTAGTGTTCGCCCATGGCGATGTCAGAACTGATAATATTATAGTGAATCGGGATCAGAACAATGCCTGTGTCGTGACCGGTATCATTGACTGGGAAGAGAGCCGGGTTTTATCCACAGTACTATGGATGTACTTCAGGAACAAGGACATTGTGTCTGACGGAGGAGAATGACTGGTATTCTTATTTGTCAAAAAGCATTTCTCCCTCGCAGTTCCCTATACATTGGCTTGTGCTTGTTCATCAGCTCTGGGTCATCCATGCCAAAACAAGCTAACATCATGGCATTTCTCTGCCCCCAGATGACTGTATTTCCCTTCAGCTGCGGTACACCACTCAACTAAAGTCGCTTGAAAGTTCGATCTCTGATATAGTGGCAACTCGCTGACAAACAATAGATTGGATAGGTATCATGCAGTGAGCTTACATGCTCAATATGAACACTCGGTTTCACCAAAAGAAAGGAAGAAATCCATCCAACTTTTCCAGTATCAGGCAGACGAAGAAGAGCGTTATGGGAGTCCTTCTTGCCTTCCCGCAAGGTAAGTCCTTTGCAGGCGATATACTTCGTCTTCACCGTCAATGACTTTTCTTTCTTCCAGCTCGTCCAAGAGGTCAAGCACATAGTCTTGACAATTCCAACCTGAGATCTCATTATGAACAGGGATTGCCCTCGCAATATTCCTGATCGTCTTGGCTCTGGCGTCATTAACGACACAAAGGTAGACCAGCTCCACTAGGCTTTCGTCATGACGAACATCTCTTTTCTCCGTTTCATATCGAAAATGGCCATCGGATCCCCTGACATTGAGCAAGGTTTCCGCTTCGGGTTGGTCAATGAAAAGAGCCCAATGGTTGTAAACACCGCCGTCGTTGGATATGGCTACATATACCTGTATCGTTGACATCTTGAAGCAAAAGAAGACGTCAGAAGGCTGTGTAGCGGATGTGGTGGTATATAGGACAGGATAGAAGGATACTGCGCAAAGAGTATCAGTAAACGAGCACAGAGGATTCAATCAAAACTTACTTACAGCTACTTGCGTGATCTTGGAGTACTTTGAAAGTCTTTAAAGAATTGGATACTGCTTTCCAACGCAGATCCATTCTTATAGAATAACTATTGGGCTACGTGTAAGCAGCCCAACATTGCCGCCGATATCCCCAAGCGGCAGCTGTTGTTTGCTTGCACTCACTGACTCGGAGAGCCGGATATCGAATCGTTCCATAGCCCTGTGTAACGCACGTCGACACGTTGCGTCAAACAAATCGGTGCTTGCCTGAGCGCTAACTCCCTTGCCTATACGTGCATGGTTCTTGTGACCGTACAGAATGACCAATGATTTCGCTTGCTCCCATCTTTCATAAATCTGTTATGGTCTAACCGAAAGGAAAGGCGCTTAGACGTGATAAGGAGCAAAGGCAAAATGAACGAGTGGAGTACAGGGATCGACAGATGCTAAACTCGGTCAAACTCGGCTGAGAGAGTAATATCTCCAGGTGTTGAAATTCGAGATTACCAATAACGTAGTTATTGAGAGTTCATGTGTCGGTTTCATGCTCCACGGCTTATGTAGCTTACCAACAGCAATAGGAGCTTGCTGCTGCATTACAAGCTCAATTTCTACAGCTCTTTAGAATCCTGCTCATTCAATATTCCCTGCACAAGGCTGAGGTGGTAGCAGCCCATGTCTCATGGCACGGCTCAGTAACACTTCACTCCTATATTGTCTCGTGTGGTAACCGAATTCGGTGATATGGTCAGATTACATGCGAACAAAATATTCAATAAGTGAAAATGAAGCCTTGCATTAAACGCCTATTCAGGTTGGGTAAATGAGCAATGCTGATGGACACTTCAGAGGTCTATACCAAAATGGTGCCAAACAAGCAAAGTCATAGCCGCCATAGCCCCGCACAGGAACATTGGGTCCAGCTGTTGGATTATATAGAGGAAGCCAGATGCGGCACCCTGACGGCACACGCCTTCGAAAAAGGGCTGGATAAAAATTGGGGTCGAGATGCTCAACCAGGCCCCTACCCACGCAAATCCCAATACTTTTTTCCATACTGGCGTGGGGGTGAGGGCAGCACCCGTGCTTGGGCGTTTCTCACTGCACTGCATCGCCTGATTCTTCCCTCGTTTTTGGGTAACGCGACGCCAGAGTTCCTGCACCCCGTCCTCGATCATAAATCCGAGAGTGAAACTGCAAAAGAAAAGCAGAGAGCCTGACTTGCGCCACGGGACCCCATACCGAACATCATTGATGAGATGGAAGAGACCAGAGTGCGTGAACACCAAGAGAACATGCATATATCTCCCCACAAGATCTGACTTTGTCATGCCAAACCCCTTCTCCACGATAGCGGTTGAGATGGCGCTAAAAGGCCACCGCAGTAACTGGTGCCAGTATACAGCCCAGAACTGCCGCAGGGTCCAGGCATCACGGGCGCTACCGAAGGCAGGAGGCCAGTCAATCGGTGTAGTCAGCCCTATAGCAACTGAGACGGCGCTGGCAAGCCGGTAAATGCTGTCAATGCTCATGCGAAAGGGAAGAATCCACATCAAGGGCCAAATTACTCGCCATAGCCCCGGGGAGTCCCGGAAGGCAGGGAGCACACGATCGCACGGCGTATCCGATGGCATGGTTCTCAGGAAATATAGCGCCACCAGGAAGGCAGTGCCAATCTCCCACAGGGCAATGGTAATCTGCCTAACACAGAAAGAGCTGTGGCTGGGATTCTTGGCGCCGTCGAATGACTGAGGAAAAGGAGGTATGTTCTTCACCTGCCATTTCGTGCGGATGCCCCTATTATTGCACAGTATAGACAGTCCGCTGCATATTCTTTCAAGTGTAGTTGAGTGTCGTTTACGCAGAATCTCCCGTTCCAGGTCTGTAGCGTCGACTTCAACGAGGGTCAAGAGGTTGATTGCATGGCAAGCACCAAGGAAGGCATCCCTACCAAGATGCCCTATGAATGACGAATCATTGGTCAGGAGTGGTGCCAATGTACCTTGCACTACTGACAAGCACAGCAAGGGAATAAGTCCGAGACGTCTCGATAAGGCATCTTTTTTTGTGCATGCTATCAAGATACTGCATAGAATATAGCGGGCAACACAAGCACAGACGGGAAGTGCCCGGACAGCAAGCTGCACTAGCCGAGGAAGCGATGAGTTGAGGATAGCAAGATCTGAGTCCCAAGAGTGATTCGCAGGTATTTGCACCCGAAACGAATCGGGTTGGAGGGTGGCTTGGCTTGAGTCTTCTATCATGTCGGCGACTAAGGACGTGAAACAGCAGCAGTGCCAGTGAGAGACAGAAGCCAACATAGACCAGGATCGGATTTGACGTTACATGCCAGTTATAACTACATGAGCATCCCAGGGAGCCATGGCAACCCAGGCTCAGATGCGGGCATCATCCTACACGGTTCCAGATCTCCTGAGATCTGTCAAGCATGTTTGGGTAGGTCCCAAAGAGCAGTGTAGCCTCCTTACGGCTCAAGACTCGCCATTTTCATGCAAGACTTGAAAGCTTTCCATATCCAAAGTTTGGTCGACGGGGTAGCTCTGCAACGTTCCATGCATTTGCGGGAACAGGTTTCTCGCACGATTGACCAGGCAATAATTTTCCTATAAATACTGGCAAGGGACAACTTCTGCAATTTTCCTCAAGGCAACAGTCTTTAATTCTCAGACGTCAGGCCAATCCGGTGCCTTCACACAGAGGGTTGGTCCTTCCCATAGGTGCGGAGAGTGGTCCATGACACATCCCCACGTCAGTATCTCGGATATCCACAATCGTGATGACAGCCAAGAACACACTACAGTTGCATGCAGAGGTAGTAATTTTTATCTATGAGAGCGGCAGACCCACCGTAATAACGTTAAACTGACCCTGCGGGAACTGTGGACCAAGGACGACTTAGGGTTACATCCAAGATCTACGAAGCGGCGGCTGGACAGAGACAGGAATTTGGTATTGAGAGGGATGCAACCTCGAGGAAGCTCCATCCTTCCAGTGATTATCGGCTTGAGGAAAGGGGTAATGTCGAATTCATGATTGTCTTCGACTTCGCAGCATAAGGTACGGAGTAAGGAACATTGCCTGATTACACGCTCATTTTTCTCAGCGTCTAGTTAGTGACATCCATTACGTTCTTTCTATTGGGAGCTCGGCCATTATATTTGACGCTTCCCCCTCTCCGACCCCCGCATAATATAGTTGCCTCTTCCTGCTTCCCCGGCTGTGTAATGCAATTCCCAACTCAAACTCAACAGGGCTTCTTGCTTTGTAAAACATATCCCTCAGCGACCAATAGCGACACAAGTCTAGTCGAGGATCAGCAGCGTCCACACAGTACGACACTTCTACTGCATCCTGTCTCGCATTAGCCGCTTTCAATCAGAGCAACTGGGTGAGTCGGGGGATTCCTTACTGGTAGTCCACTCGGCTGGAGTCCCTCGAAGATAGTAGACTCATAAACGAGATACGGACTGCCCAACGATAATCCACCATCGCTGTCACAGCCGATAGATGGCTTCCTCGCCTCACCTTCGACTATAGCGGTGTTCTCACATATTCAGAGTACAGCGGGTCACAATGATAGACCCCAGGGCCACTATACCCAGTTCCTCACAAAGCTTCAACTCATTCAGGTATGAAATCTTCAAATAATCCAGGAGATCGTATCCCACGCCTTAGAGCCCTTACTGTCCCCAGCAATCTTCTAAAGAGACTCCCAACATGGTCCCTCCACGATCTCCACACAAATCCACCTAACCCAGTAATCTCCACCAGTGCCCTGGCAATGAACGCAAACTTAGCAGTCGTCTTAAGGCTGGCATATTTCCAGCCCCTAGCTTTACGGAGGAGTGCCTCAGTGTCTGGGTTTGGTTTTCAGGCTGAGGTCAGTACAACAATTTCTCTCAACCATTCTTCACATTTTGATTCTCTTTTTACTCTGTTTCTCCTCCTCCACGGGGCCAGAACCTTGCTAACAGGCATCTGCCACTGTCAATGAAGCCCGCCGGCTTGGTGTTCAACAGTCGCTTCCTTTCATAATCGGCGTGTGATGAAGGTAACGTACAAGGCCCAGATGGTCTATCACCGCGACCATGCCATATACTAATATCCGGAAAGCAGAAAGACGTAGTCAGCATCTTTGACATGATCGGCAAACTTGAAGCGTACCATTATATCCCACGACTGGTGGAAGATATCCTTCACAAAGATACCCGCAGCTGGTCAGGAAACCGTTCCGTCTACGTGCCCCAGAGCAAGCCCATTTCCAACCTATCCTGGGCGATGCAAATGGTGGCAGCATTTCAGCTGGTAGCCTCCAGTTGGACCTACGCTCGAGTAAGGAGCACACTGCCCCCCAGAAACAGGGAGTATTAAAGCTGATATATTCACCACCTTTCAGATCAGTCGCTCAAAGATGCGAGCGGCACTGGGCCAACAGACGACGACAGCGCCCGTACAGTGCTCCTCGGCACCGGTACGAACGACGTTACAGGCGAACTCGAAACCCTGCTTCCCGCAGCGCACTATAGTCGTAAGGTAGGTACTGCTTTCTTGGCTTATCTGCCTCCCGTCAAAGAGCAAAGCAGACGGAGCATTCTTGTTGTTGACATACAATAGCCAGCTAAAAACCACGTCTCATTACAAAGTCCAGTTCCGGCACTTGACGAAGAACTATGAACGAAAGGATTTGTATCCCATGCGGCAAACCGACGACAACGACGAGTACGGCAATACAGGCTTTCTCTATGGTAGCAGACGTGACTCATCGAACCTACTAGTGGCCTTCGTTGATGCCAATAATTTGCGGGCAAAGGATGATTCTAGTACACCAGCTAAAGGCCCAGATGCCACGACAGCTGCTCTGATCACGGCTGAGGCCATAAAGCGTCAATTTATGGCTCACCAGTCAGAGCGGCATTCATGCAGATTTTGAATACCCTCGACTCAAAGCGTCATGCAGAACTGAACAGACAACTCGACGCAGCAATTGAAGCAGCATGCAATCCAGATCCAAATCGCAGCGTCGAGCTTGCCGATGGCCCTTTTGTCGCAGTCAACCTCTTTGATCAAAAGGGAACACACCTAGGGTGGTTGGGGCCCAATGGACAGGTTGTCAAATCGAAAACGATGGGCCACTCGGTATTTTCCAGCTCGAATACACGCCAGAAACCCCAGACGAAGCTGGCAGGAGAGCACCCGGAAGACATGAACTGAATATACCACCCGCACCGACAACTCCCACTCTACAAATACAGTAGCCTCCGCCAAGAGACCAGCTTCGACCTCCACATGATGGAGGCGCATCACGGGATGTTCGGCTCATGCACCAGCAACAGCTTGAGAGGCTAAGGCATTATTTGAATACTAAGTGAGAAGGGATATGATATAGGTGAGAGTGATTATATATATTAAGTGTAGATTGATGTAAGAGGGTAAAATATAGGTAAAGAGAAACATACCTTATAGTAGACCTCCCCCTGCTTAGATGTATATAACACTATATATTCTTATAAAAGCATCTAAATAATCAGGGCGCTTTGGCTGACTAACTAATCAGAGGCTGTTCGGTTGAACCACTTCAACAGGGAAGCCTTCGTCCCTGGCTCGCATGGCTATTGAATCTAAGTGACTTGCAATGATTCCCTGGATAAACCTGGAAAACAAGCAGTCAAATCTACTAACTTCTGTTGCATTAGCAGGAAACGCGAAGGGACACTTGAAGCACAATATGGCCAAACTTACCTTTAACTCGGGGAGATGATTCCGGCAAGCGGAGGGTATCAGGTCAGCGTTCTGCAATTTGATATAGCCCCGTATGCCAATGGCAACGTAGTTCTTAAAGGTATATTCTGTGGAAATGAAATTAAATATTGAAGCAATCCATCATGTTCAAGTACAATGTGACATTTTTACCATTTGGATTAGATACACAGTGTGAGGCCGAAGCAAGGGTGTCTCGCCAATCGAAGAGATGTGTGCTAGCCCCCAGCTACTCTCAAACTGTGATAGCCTTCCAAAATGCTGGACTCTCATGGCCTTGCACCACATTCGAGATCGGAATCAGATGGGCAGCTGGGTTGGCCCGCTCCTCCTGAATCTGGCGAATATAGGATTGGGCAACCTTGAGCCACAGCGCCTTCTCCCGTCTACTCGCCTGCGAGCCTTGCCAAACCCATAGTCTGCTTCCGGTGTCGCAGAGAAAAACATCATTGCCATCCAAATCCGACGGGGAGATCTGCTGCCCGTGTTTGACGAGATCGAATGAAATCGCCCCTGTGGCGTCACTGAGTCGGAATAACTTGTTTGACTTGGTTTCATCACTATCCCGATCGCCTCCTGCAGGGAAAGAAACAGGCCGCGGTGCCTGGAAAGACGACTGCTGGATATCCTTGCCACCGAGCAGGTCCACGATGATTTTAGACCGTGACTCCAGCTGGGAAAGAACCTCGACGTCGAGATGTTTAGCAAGAGTCATATCATTGACCACCTGGGCAGCTTTTGCTTTTTCCATCGGGCTACAGTTCTTGCCCTGCCAGACCCAGATTTTCTCTCCCTGATCCAAGACAAAGACATCATTGTCGTCGAGACTCTCCCAGGTCGGCTCGACCTCGTGCACGATGACTGAATCAGCTCGCGCAGCACCAGGATGCTTGAAGATCCGAAGCAGCGTGATGACCTCCTTCGGTGACTGCTCCTCCGTCTCGACGTGGTTAAAGCCCGACCGCACGCCCCCAGACCGAATACAGAGCCGGCGGAAAAGCGCCATAAACTCCGGCGAAGGGTGCGCCTGGACCTCACGATGCTGCGTCGCAGTCCCATGTAGGAACTCATCGAGCTCGACGGTCTTGTACGCGGCCGTGCCAGCTTCATCCTGCGTGGTCTTGCTTCCCAGCCAGAAGAAGATATCGTGGCACAGCTTGTCCTCGACCTTGTAGGAATGCAGGACGATATAGCTATCGCCGTCGTAGAACTCGCCTGCGCGTTCCTTGGGCCAGGGGACGACCTCGAAGTTCTCGATGCGCCAGATGAAGAGGCCGCATTCTTGGCCTACCAGTCCGTTGTTCCAGGCTGGTTCGGATGCGGCTGAGTTGTATTTGACGCGATGGTCGATGTCTGAGCCGATCAATTCCACATTGCTGTCTTTGATGTCGTACTCTTTGAGATGGACCAATCCTTCGTGCGGAGGCATTTTTGGTAGTAGTTGGATGAAGTTAGAAGTTGAGGACAGGAAAGAAACAATGCGGATCGATGGTGGGGTTAATGGCTAGGGAGTGAGCTGAGGCAGAGGAGGATCTACACTGATAGTGGAGATTCTTTATAAATAGTATTATGTTCCAGCTTATTGTCCTCGGTCCGATTTCAGCTTACTTATAAGTAAATCATATAAGTACAAGTCAAGAATGTATACTGAATTATCCAAGAGTACTCCGCAAAGACGTGAATATACATGTCAAAATCATTAAAGGTGCGGATAAGAGACCGTGCTGCAGTATAAATATACCAGACAAGCCATGGAAGATTGACGCTGGATATATATGTGACTATATCCATTAATCCTTGCTATCAGCCCTATGGACAGTCGTGACGCATTAAATAAAATGCTCATAGGTCTAAGAGTTCCCTATCCCAGCACAAACATATAATATAAGGGGCTCTATAGGAAACGGACGAATGGTTTGCCAGTTATGTATATAAAGTTGTAGATGGTCAGAGGTGCAAACCATCCAAATAACACACTTTCCAGTTTTCCGCACTGCAAGAATAATGATAGTGACGGTATGCAAGGGAAAAAACAAAGAAAATTGACAATAAAAAGGAATAAAGGACGAGATGAAGCTGTGAATAGCAAAAATGGACTATGTGGGAATCGAACCCACGACCTCCCGCATGCGAAGCGGGCGCACTACCACTGTGCTAACAGCCCAGTGATGATATCGCCACCCAAATTCTGCCTCCATAAAGAAAACTGAACAAATGCCGAAGAATTGCCGAACATGCTCCAGGCTATCACAGGTATTTTGACGAGTCACATATACCATGTAGACACAAGACACATGTTCATATCAGTGCGGATAGAATGAATTCTAGGATTATGGACCATAATTTCCCTCTAAAGAAACTGCCCCAAAAGGAAACGATTTAAAGATGAATATCGCCACTATATTGCTTGAATCAGATACTCAATTTACACCTATGAAAACATCCGACATGAAGAACCTCGAAATCGAGGGGAAAAACTATGCAACAACATGGCACAAAAGGTGAAAGGAAATATAGGCGCACAGGGAATTGGACACAAGAGAAGCACATTTCTTTTATTGTGAATACACCACCTAATGAGCAGCGAGCATCTTCTTGATCTCAGCAATAGCCCGAGCGGGGTTCAGGCCCTTGGGGCAAGTCCGCGAGCAGTTGAGGATAGTGTGGCAACGGTAGACGCTCATGCTGTTGTCGAGAGCGTGCTTGCGCTCGGCGGTCTTCTCGTCACGAGAATCGGCCAGCCAACGGTAAGACTGGAGCAGGATGGCGGGACCCAGGTACTCCTCGCTGTTCCACCAGTACGAAGGGCAAGAGGTCGAGCAGCAGGCGCACAGAATGCATTCGTAGAGACCGTCGAGCTTCTTGCGGTCCTCGGGGCTTTGGCGGTGCTCGAGACCCTGTTCTCAAATCAGCTGGGCTACATAATCACAGAATCTGAGGAGTACTCACATCCTCAGTCTTGGTGTCACGCTGCAGGTAAGGCTTGATGGACTTGTATTGCTTGTAGAAGTAGGTCAGATCGGGGACCAAGTCCTTGACGACGTAGGTGTGAGGCAACGGGTAGATACGCGACTCCTGCTTGGTGTCGGTGGGAATACGGCCTAAACGGGATATTAGCAACCACGCTTAATGTCCTGAATCCATTCCAGATGAGCTGAGCGTACACAAGCAAGCCAGAGTGTTGATTCCGTCAATGTTCATGGCGCAACTACCGCAGATACCCTCTCTGCAACTTCTCCGGAAGGTCAAGGTGGGGTCGATCTCGTTCTTGATTCTGATGAGCGCATCGAGCATCATAGGACCCGTCTTGTTCAGATCCAGGCTGTAGGTCTGCATCTTGGGCTTCTCGGTGGGCTGGTCTGGGTTCCAGCGGTAGACATGGAACTTCTTGATTCTCGGAGACTGGGACGGGTTGGGCTCGTGAACATCGGAAGTCCTGGTCTCGGGGGTAACCTTGGCCTCGGCACTGCCGGTGCGACCGACACCAGTAGCGGGATCAACAGTGGCATACGAGCGAGCAAAGACGGCAGGACGGAACAGAGGCCTTGTGGATGCGACGAGGCGCGAGGTCGAACGAAGAGCAGCCATGGTGGGCGGACGAGAGGAGGGTTGTTTCAACCACGCGAGCGCTGAACAGAATGGTAAGGACGAGCCGAAAGGGGTCAATCAAATAGTGTAAAGTGGCAGTGAGGCAGAGAGGAGATGTAGAGGTGGTAAGATATAGCACCAGCCTGCCAGCGGCGACGATGAGATGAGGTTCAAGGAGTCCGGAAGACGGTTCAGACGCCGCTGGAGATGTTTTGTCGCTTCTGGGAGCTAAGGTAACCTCGGGTCTGGCGGTCGGCAATTTGCTGACTCAGCTCATCCCCGCCAATCACACATTCGCTAATTGCAAGCGTCGGGGATACACGGCGAATGCTCGCTGCCATGCAAGAAATATAATTCCCTGCAGCCACTCCGTCGTTCTCGGTAGATGCTTCTATTTCAATCGAGAGGCGAACCTCCTATTACTGTCTATGATATACAGCAATCTGAGTCATGAAGTCGATAGACATGATTGAGTGCTGGCCCAGGTCCAAAGGGGAACGGAACTGCCGTCCCGACGACCGAACGTCATGTGAAAGAGCCTGAGGCAACAAGGCATTAACACTATCCCTCTTTGGGTGGTGCCAGTCCCATTCATCCATCGCAAAAGATCAACATAGCTTTGCCAATCACATCCGCCTCAGTCTGCTCTCGAACCACCGATCTGATAGACCGAATCTGAAGATCTGTTTCAGTAATCAGACTGTGTGACACCCACCGACCGGAACCGAATGTCGATCGTTTCTATTCAGACATCTACCGGCTTGAGTGAAGAAGATTGGGATGATCATGACCATGAACTGATATGCATATAAATATGCAGCTCTAATTGGAATCAGAGCAAATATGTTGAAGGCTAAGGGCATACTCATCTGCATTCATCACCGTCCGGACTGTCCATCTGCCGTTTATCTGCATTGTCACCTCGCTCTCAGTCGTTTCAATGGTCAATTGTCCAGCGTTCTTCTGTTTTTTCTCGTGAAATGAGACGTTAAGACAATTGATTGTAAGCTACCACTGACAGTCTAGTCTGAAACAGTCTTTGACAGAACCGCCTTCCGCATGTGCTCTTGACTTGCAATGAGCAATGAGCAAGCGTCACGGAGAAGACTCGGGCGTGCTCCGGACCTCCTGCAGAATCACTATGGGCAGGAAGATCCATCTTCTGCCGACAAGAGCTTCGTGACCTTACACTGACGCTTACCTTTGTTGAAGCTGACCTCGAGGTCCTTACCGTATAACCCGTGGCCACTGGGCTTTCGACGTCGCGGCAATACTACATTTTTCAGTAAGGCAACACCATCGGGGCCTTTCCGGACTCTGGATGTTATGATCAGATTGACCAGACAGACCTCTCCATCACTTTGCAACAAGGTTTCTGCGGCCGAAGGAAATTTCCTTCTATACTAGCCTTCAAGCAGTACCACACCATAGGTCGTAGATATTTTCCTCGACCTTCCAAGCATGGTCGAGCATGGTCGACTAAAGTCGCAATAAGGCAGGGAGCTGGCGTATGGCCCAGATAACGATTATTCTACAAACATATCCAACCTGTTAATGAGCATTGCTCTGAGGATAAAGAAAAGAGTCTAGGCGGTAATTACCACCTCCTTGGTATAGCAGATTAATATGCTTAGAATCTGCCAATATGCTAAGCAGGCACTAGAGCCTGCGGCCTTCGGGCAATTTCCTACAATTAAGACAACCGCTTACTGCTCTGTACGTCTTATTTGCCCGGATCAGACCACGTTGAAGGCAAGGCTAAGCTCGGTATTTCGGATGCTGCCTTATGTGGATCTGCAGAGTATGGGGAATGGAGCCAGTTTGTATATGCAGGGGTGATCCTTTTATTCCCTAAGAGTCTATCTCAACTTATGCGTTATGAACTCATGACGTCCAGAAGTATCCCTTGAGGGCCCTGACAAAGACACTAGTCATGATAATGGAGACTGACCATGTGGTCGAAGAATCAGTCGCGGTGATCCACTGTGGATCGTGTCTCTCTCATTTTTGATTTCTACCACAACTACACGGTCCACTCTACAATGAGACTTGAATGTTGAGGACCATGGTCGATGTAAATCAAGAGATCCAAAAACAAAGCCACATTGTAAGAGTTTCGTATTCGCATAGATTACCATTGTAAGTCTCGAGTTCTCTGCTCGCACCCGCCAAGACGGAGAATTTCTCAAGAAGCGTAACAACATCCGGCAGCTAAGATGTTAGCCGGTTTCCCTGACTCGGTGCAGAGAGGTTAATATAGTTATTACGGATTTCCTAAGTAGGACTATGAAACACTTTAAACTAGGCTCGTTTCCCCTTGCCCCTCATTGATGAACTCTCCACTATCCACTATGTATCAGTCGACGGCGGACAAGCAGTTACTACTGACTGTCGAGAAGAAATTTCGGCCGACATTTGAGTTTTCACATATAGACCTCCATAGTTAAGGACATTGTTGTGGATTAAGTAACGCTGCAACAGACGTTCTTAGCGCCAGTGGGTGGGAACTGGTGTTTTACTGGTGCTTTTAGGGCTGGCTTAGTCCGGTATGTTTCATCTAGAGGTCTGAGGTCTCTATTTAGCCTGGCCCTGCATTATTGACTCGGATAGATGAACCGGATCTGATAATAGGGGTTTGCATCTTTTGATGTCTCCATTCGGACCATGTCCGGCTCGGAGATGAAGTGTATATATAAAGGCTGCCCCCGTGAGGAATGCTTGTTTGAACCAATCCATTCTCTCCTTTGCTCTTCACTTTAGTACTTACTTCATTCATTCATTCATTCTTTCTTTCTCTCTCTTGTCATTCTTTCACTCACGATGAGATATACCTCTCTCTTCGCCGCCGTCACGGCTGCGCTGGCCAGCACCGCCGCGGCCGTTGGCGTCTCTGGAGCCGCCGAGGGCTTCGCAAAGGGTGTAACAGGAGGTGGAAATGCCGCCCCCGTCTACCCCAAAACAAACGATGAGCTGGTCTCATACCTCGGTGACAGCCAGGCCCGCGTCATCGTCCTCACCAAGACGTACTCAACCCAATGCCCTCACAGATGAAGATGAACGGGAACGCTAACATGCGGCCTCAGCTTCGACTTCCGCGGCACCGAAGGCACCGCGAGCGGAACCGGCTGCGCTCCCTGGGGTACTAACTCCAAGTGCCAGGTGGCCATCAACCTGCACTCGTGGTGCGACAACTACGAGCCCAACGCCCCCAAGGTCGGCGTCAGCTACGACAAAGCCGGTGTTCTCGGCATCACTGTCAATTCGAACAAATCCCTGATCGGCCAGGGCAGCGCCGGCGTTATCAAGGGCAAGGGTCTGCGTATTGTCAGCGGCGCGAAGAACGTCATCATTCAGAACATCGCTATCACGGATATCAACCCCAAGTACGTCTGGGGTGGAGACGCCATCACCATCAATGACGCTGACCTCGTCTGGATCGACCACGTCACTGTAAGTCCTCGCAATTCATGTTGAACATGCTCACTTGAGACCAATGCTGATATCTACGGGGATAGACCGCCCGGATTGGTCGCCAGCACATCGTCCTCGGCACCCAGGCCGACAACCGCATCACCATCTCCAACTGCTACATCAACGGTGTCTCCGACTACTCGGCCACCTGCGACGGCTACCACTACTGGGGCATCTACCTCGATGGCTCCAACGACATGGTCACCATGAAGGGCAACTACATCTACCACACCAGCGGCCGCTCCCCCAAGGTCCAGGGCAACACCCTGCTGCACGCTGTACGTTTCCTCCCCTCACCCTTACATGTCATGAACTAACAAGACCAAAAAGGTCAACAACTACTGGTACGACAACACCGGCCACGCCTTCGAGATCGGCTCCGGCGCCTACGTCGTCGCCGAAGGAAACGTCTTCCAGAACGTCAAGGTCGTCGCCGAGTCCCCCATCTCCGGCAAGCTCTTCACCTCTCCCAACACCTCCACCAACAAGGTCTGCTCCTCTTACCTGGGCCACACCTGCCAGATCAACGGCTTCGGAAGCTCTGGCTCCTTTAGCCAGGCTGATACAGACTTCCTCTCGAAGTTCAAGGGCAAGAATATTGCTTCCGCTGCCGCCTACAACACCGTTGCCTCCAGCGTCACCGCCCATGCTGGCAACGGTAAGCTGTAAGCTGTACGCAGCTTCCACATTTCGTTGAATCATAACACAAGGTGACCGGCAGAGCAGAGGAGAGATAGAAGAAAAACTATCTGGTAGCACCGTTTAATTTTCTTGTACCTAAGTACCATAACCATATCAGGCAATCACAGGTGATTCGCCAGAGACCTAAGCTAATTCAGTTTCTGAAGTCCAACCAAACAAGCACGACAGCAACATAAGAATAGTAACTATGACCTTAACACGCCCGGTCTACCCACTGCAGCCCAGTCACTGCATCCATCCTAGAAGCGGGCAGGTAGACACACAAGCTTCACGATGCAGATTCTGCGGTTTGCTCTTTCGGAACTCGAGTAGCTTTGAACGGTTGCGGATTCGGAAACCAGTGCCTGGGTACATTCGGTCCTCTTGCCTCATACTTAGCCTGGATGATGCACCGGCTGATATAGTCCGGGTCTTTGCACACAGTGGCGAAGTTCTCGCACGTAACATGGTAGTCGTAGTCGACAGGGGCAGCAACGATAAAGAGAGCTTCGTAGGTGGTATCCTCTGAATGACTTAGAATGTCATCTCTCATGGTTTCAATGATGGCTTTGTCGGGGGAGCCTTGAACTTTGCGGATGCTCATTTTGTGGTGTTCTGGACTCCTGCGCAGGATGATGCATTGATGAGGCAGGAAAACATGACATCGACTCTTATCATAGGACACATACAACACTACGGATCAGTGACTGCTGATTAATCAGGCTTAGCCTCTAGTTATGCCTCTCGTTATGTTCTAGCCTACGCCAATATTAGTAGAAGCGAGATGTCATTTCCGCGCGTACGGTTGGCATCGCGAAAAAGACCTCGAACAGTCCGATTCCACGAAGAACTTTGTTGGAGGTGGCCGCGCCGCCAGTACAGTTGGCCTAGCACGCAAATAGTCTACTGATTACTCGGTCCGTGTACAGCGTGCAGATTGGAGAGATTGCACTGCCAGTCAGCATTGACGGCCGTCCGGTGTCGATGAAGGTGATATTCGTCGGATCGTACAATACAAAGTGAGCGTCAAGGCCGAGGAGACAGAAGAGAGAGTAGAGAGAGCTATCTGGTAATACCGTTTATTTTTTTTATACCTAGCTACCTGTCAGGCAATCACTGGTGATTTGCCATAGACCTAAAGCTAACCCGGTTTTCCAGAGTCCCAACCAACCAAGTGTGATGACAGCATAGGAGGATGAGAAGGCAGGAGTCTTAGACGATAATAATGGAAAATGAAGAGCACAATTCATAACAAGAACTCAATTGACAATGATCAAGCCAGGTCCAGCCACTGTCGCCCGAGCCACGTCGTTCGCATTGCGGAACGGACCACTGCTGTTGGTCACAGCAGCAATGGTCAGTCCGTTCATCAGGAACTGGTCGTACGGGAAAAGGACCTCTGCGACCACTGTCCGGTTTTCGGTGGAGATGATGTTCATTGATTCCACTATTGGTAGATTCTGTTGATTGATATAGGTCATCCACAAGCGCTGCGCCATGTGTCTGCGAGGCCTGAAAGCGACTTGGATGATCTGCGTCCGGTTTTCGGGTGGTGTCAGGATGGCCAAGGGGTGAAATCTTTGCAGTGGAATCTCATGGATATTGGGGCAGCTGCCGGGGACGACAAAGGCATTGAGTATGGCGGAGAAAGCAAAGTTGAGATCACTGGTGGTGAGGAAGGGAAGTTCGCTGGGAACCTTGTCCTGCAGCACGCGGAACCAGCCCTCTTGTTCGCCTTCGTTTCCAATCACCGAAGAGATGATTCGAGTGAAGTTGAAGTCGCCCCCGACGGCAAAGCGCTCCACCACGTCTTGCAAAGTTCCAAGGACAAGATCGGTGAAATTGGCGGCGAGAACGATCGCGGAATTAAAGTCGGAGACAGGGAAGTGATACCTGCAAGGAAGGATGGGAGAAACATTAAAGTGTTGAAGGGCCATATTGGCGCTCAATTCATGCAACTCTTCTTGCTAAAGTCAATTGTCAGTCGAGCTCGTTGAGTGACGTGTCTACCGAGGAGGCTTACTGCAAGAATTGCAGTCAGACTTCGGATGACCATATCCCGGTCTTCTCCATCTTCTTCGCCTTCGTCGTCGTCGTCAGGGATCACATAGCCGGTCACATTGTTGGTGACATTGTGAAGAAGGCTGTTGAAGAAAGCCACCTCGAAGTTCTCGTTGAAAGCGATCCATTGTAGGTTGACAATACCCTGTCGGCTGATGTTATTTGGGGGCGGTGTGTTTGGCAGCGTTCCGTGAGCTCTCAGCTCTATTTCCCGTAGCTGACCAGGAGAAGGAAAGGGCAGGTTATCTGGCAGCGAAGATTCGTTGTGCCCCGGCCGGTGCGGAGCAGCGAGAGTGGGATTCGCTAAGAAGAGCAGAAAAACAATAAGAAGGAACTGCATGATGACAGTGATGATGCAATTCGGAAGGTTGAACAGTAAGAGGATATGAGACTGAAAGGCGTAACGAGTGGAATGAATCTAAGAGATGGAGTATAAGCTGGGAGAGGATGCAGAAGAGGGGGATTTTCGAAGGTGCCAGAGGGGAATCGCCTCCCATATAAACAAACAGTAGTAGCCAGCTGTATCGAGCGTAGATGCGCCTTCCCTTGTCCTTTGCAAGAAGGCGCAGAGCAGCATCAACAGTGATCCCATCGCCAACACCCTCGGCGCCCTCAGGCAGGCAGGAGGTGACTACTACCTCGTCTCCCGCAGGCCCAAGGACTTCCCAGAGCTCCTGCGAACGACGGGTTCTATTCCAAAATCCGCATTCATGAGGCGACGCCCGTCTCTTTTCTTAGTTTGAACAGTCCAAAGTATATAATTTTGGTTGCTCTTACAAGGCGTTAGGTGTATTTGGGGCTAGCAAGTAGGACGTTAGCTCACGGAGACGACTTCGGCGGCCACTACAAAGGCACTACAAAGGCACTGCTCCTGCTGCTGCCATTGCACTTTCCTGCAGAATCAATGAGAAGAATGTCAAGTACAGTGAGCCTTAGATGTAAACTACGAATTTGAAAGTGCCAGTTCTTCTTCAGCATCATTCTGACGACCAACACTGCCTCCGTGTGCCTGACTTCTTCGAATCGTAATATATGTCCAGCCCCAAGCCAAAGCGCACTATTCTTGGGTTATCAGAGTCAGCTTCCACAGCTCATGGCATCACTCTGTTGTCATTTTCCTTCAGATCTCTCTGGAACGCTATCTATTCTTAGACAGCCGAAGGAGTATAACCTTCCCTCCTGCTTTCTTCTCCCTTTCTCTCTCCTCCATCTTTGGTCTTTCCTCCAAGAACACTCTGCCAGACAGCAAATTGCTTCATCTCAACAGTCAAAACTTCTTCACCTTCACTCGATCATGGCCAAGGAAAACTCCAACCCTCTCAAGCACTACCTTAAGCTCCTCGACGAGCTCCGCAAGCCCAAGCCAGCTAACGACTCCAAAGAGTCCTCGTTCAAGGAGCGAGTCAGTTCATTCAGTCTGAAAATAACGCCCTCAAAGGCGGACGAGCACTCAGGCTATGGCTTGAAGCGGGTGCCAACTCCTTATCCGCTCATGACGCGGAGTTGAGAAGCATGTCTTCTCACTTCTGGCTCTTCATTTGCCTTGGCTGCTGTTCTGTTCCGTTGATTTTATCAGCTCGATACCAGCAGCTTCGAGCTGCCTTGCTATTGTTTACGCAATGTTCGCGTCATTGTGAATAGATATATTGCATAATGCTTGTGCCTATCGTCATGTGCTTCGACGGTCTGTATACTAGGCTGGGTCAGTCAAACAACCAGTCAATCAACCAATCGATCAATCAATCAACCAGTTGATACAGCCGTTCTAAATCTATACTGCACCGTAAGACTGGGAAAGTAAAAAAGGGCTTCTATGACTCTATTGTGTTACGTACATTTCATGTGGCATGACATGACGACAGGCAACCCCGCCGAGCACTTGGAACTAGGCGAGGTCTTGATGGATTCTAGGGCAGACTGCCTTTATTTACACCTTACTTGTGCTTGATTCTTCTAGACTTATCTCTACTTGTCATTCAGTTCTTTCTGATAATCCAAGATTATGCGAGCAAGCTTGCTCCGAGTTTTGTTGCTTCAGGGAATCCAAACACCAAAGTACTGAGCAACTGCCGCAGTACAACAACCCATGAGTGTTCCCACGTAAAATCCTCCCACCAGAAAATAGGAAAGTGCAAACCCAAAAGGCAATACTAAAAACCAAACAAATTCTTGTCCTCATCATATCCCCACTTCTTCAGAACCGGCAAGACCGCTTTCTGAATCATGGTCGGCGGACCACACAGAAGCGCAGCACTCTTCTCCCCCGGTTCAAAGGCGTACTTGTGGAGGATCTCCTCATTCACATGCCCCTTTTCTCCCTTCCAGTCGTCCGCCGGGTGAGAAAGCACGTACGTAATCTGGAACTGGCCCGGATGTTCTTTCGCGTACTTGTCGAGTTCGCCGCGCATCAAAATATCATCCTCGGACTTATTGGCATCAATAGCCCTGACCTTCGGTCCTTTCCCCTGTTCTGTCCTCAAAATTCGTGCAATGAGCTGATACCCCGGTGTAATGCCCGATCCTCCGAGAATCAAAGTGATGTGGTCGAAATGATACGTCTTCTCGTCGACGCGGAATTCGCCGTTCCCGCGGTATCGGATCTCGCCTGTGGGACCTTTGACTTCGACCTCTTCGCCTTTCTGGAGGCAGTCGAGGATGTTGCTCATCGTGCCGCCTGGTTGTGCGGAACTAGGGAAGTACGTTTTGACGACAAGGTCGAATGTGCCGTCTTCTTCGGACTCCAGGATCGGCCGGGTAGGGGTGTATGGACGAATGACGAGCCGGTCCTTGAAGTGGAAGCCGATCTGGAGGTGCTGCCCTGTTTCCAGACCGAGCTTCTTGTCTTTGGAAGGAAGCTCAAAGGTGTAGCACTTTGTGTCTTCCGATAATGGTCGTTTGCGGAGGAATTTGACTGCGGTCCATCTGCGATCGAGGTGAGCTTTTGATAGCCATGATGCGAAGAATAGAGGACATACTTGTGACGCTTGAGAGCAACCTCGTTTTCCTCCTTTGCTGATGTCGCTTTCTCCTTAGCTTTTTCTTCGGCGTCGTGCTTGATGAACTCCTGCGTTTTCTGGGTGACAGACCCCAGGAGGCACTCTGACCGATATGTTAGCTTATTATGATGGGGACGGAGAAGGATGGGATGGTATACCCTCTAATTTCTGAACAGCATAATCGTCGTGGATACTTTCGAATTCCTCCGACGTGTCTTGATGAACTCGGCCGGCGTGGGCCATAATGGGCGCTTTTCCTCCTGGATGCCAGCTCAGGACGCTGGTGGCATCGTATACTTTACCGTTGATGATGATCCAGCAGTCATCATCCGTAGTGTGCTTTTCAATCTCCTCACGGGTGAACTGCTTCTCGGGAACGGCTGCTGATCGTCGGATGTCTTCCTTCTGGATATCGATCGAGGGTTTCATCCACCCGTTCTCGCCCGTGCCAGCTTCAGTGGGATGACGGAACAGCAGGTACGGCTTATTGTTCGTCGGGTCCACTGAGGTTTCGGACTTGACGACGTAGTGGCAGTTGTTCATCATCCTGCTTGTGTTCAGCAAGGCTATACCTCCGATTCACTTTCATGGCTCGACACTTACCCTTCGAGGTTCCACGTCGGATTCTCTGGCTGGGTGTTCTTGTTCACATCCCAGCAACGGACAGTGATCTGCTCAGCGCGAAGTAGCTGCGTGATGTCGATGTCCACATGCCAGTGCAACCAAGTCCAGAATTTCCGGCCATGTCGCAGCGGTGCCTCGGGAAACTGTTCCATATCAAGAGGCGTCAAAAGGCATGCATTACCCATCGCAGACATGGATACCGACATACCTTGCGAACGCAATAGAGCCAGTTGACACCACCATTGAGACTGACTTCAACTCTCTGTACCTCGTTCCCACCACCGTTATACGCATAGCCCATGATTCGATATTTCCTGCATTTTCTTATTTCCGTGAAATCTATCCTCTCTCCCTGCGCCGGCCTCGCGATGACCGAGTTCAGCATCTGTTCGTTGCATGCCGTGCTCGGGAGACGATACATGGTCTGACCTATTTCGTCAAACCGGTCGGTCACAAAGGGCGGCACGACCCGGTTATCGAAGATATGGTAATAGGTGTCATTCTCACGGTCGGTGACCCAGATCTTCTCCAGCCACTTCACACAACGTCCGCCCACGTACCCGGGAATCACCAAGCGCAGCGGGTAGCCATGGTCCGGAGGTATGGGCGAGTCATTCATCTCATAGGCAAGAATCACATCATTGCATGGATCCATGCAGTAGTCCAGAGGGATGGAGGTCTCGTACTTTCCTTCGCTGAGAATCTCGGCACCTCCAAAATTCACCCAAAGAGGCACATCCTTGTAATCGTCCATCAGCTGCAGGATATCCGCCATGAGCAAGACATCTCGCACGAGTACGCCCTTCCAATAGGCACAACCTACGGCGGCCGGACCCCAGTTGAACCCTTTGCTGCGCTTAATCAGATTGAGCTCCTTTCTTCGGTTCCCATCGCACGCCATCACCGCGGGAATGTTGATGCTCTCGAACTTATCCTTCAAATCATCCATTAACAAGGTCAATGACTTGCCGGCGGAGATCTCCAGCTTGTGGTTCTCCCACAGGAGGTGAGGTACCGGGCCGTGACTGCGCACATAGTGTAGGTAATTTGGGGTGATGAGACCTGCGTCGACAAGCTCAACCAGATCTGGCTCGCCATTCAGCGGATGCTTCCCGGTTAATCGGATCAAGTGGTCTGTCCTTGGAACCCAGTTGTCTGGGGTGAATTGATCGGCTTCGTCGATCTCCGCTGGTATAAAGGAGCTCCCCGCAGGCGAACGGCCCTTTCCGTCGTTCGATTTTAACGACCGCATATACTCTGCCTCTTGCTTCAGATACGCCAGGAGTGCCTGTTGCTCTGGGGTATACTTTGGCTTCGAGTCCTCCTCGTCGCCCTGCTTTGGTCCTTCCTGACCTGATTCGGCAGGCTTCTTCTCCGAGTCGTCACTCCCACCCTCCTCCTGCGGCTGCTGCTGCTGCTGCTGCTGCTGCTGCTGCTGTTGTTGTTGTTGCTGTTGCTGCTGCTCCCCTCCTTTTTCTTGCTGCTTTTTGTTCTCCTTCTCCTTCTCCTGCTCTTCCATCTCTTTCTTCTTCTCGTTAATCAACCATGGCTGGTCTTCCTTGATAAACTCCTCCGTCGTATGCAGCACATATCGCCAATGCTTCGGATGCACATCCGGCCTCCTCAAATGAAAGTCCTACAAAGATAAGCCTCCCTCCGTTTCTAGGCATTGACATGGAAAACAGGATATGAATATGCTCACCTCCTGCTGTTGCAAAAAGTCCCGCACAGTTAGTAGCTCCCCTCTCTTGGCCTTGGCCCGCAGCTCCTCCGCCCGTGTCTCGGCCTCCTTCTCGAGCTCATAGCGCCAGTCGTCGCCCTCGTGCGTCAGACCGGGGAAGCGATCATCACGGTTGCGCACGCCGACGCGGTGACTGTGCGATTGCGTCCAGTCCGGCTCGTTGAGGACTTCGAGGTCGGTTGCGCCGGTGGGTTTTGGCATGATTGCTTGACTACTTATATCTTCCTGAAGCGCTGGGAATGGAGGCTGTCTGTCAGACGAGTTACAATATATTTAACGATCTTGGCTTCCGCGGAGATGTGGTGTATGGGGAATTCCCATGAGAGGCGGATGACATCACGCAGGGCAATAGAGTTCTGGAGTCGGATACTGCGGTTCCAATGGGCTGGTGGATGGGATTCCATGACACAACGAAATGCATTTTAGCGTCCCTGTTATGCGGGATAGCCTGGAGGGATGGCGTTTAAGAACTGGGCTAAGCCTCGCGGCCACCCCGCTGGAACGAGCTAAAGCTGCTGGAATCAAGGCACAGAAGCAGGTAGTCTACACAACAGGAAGCTAATTTCGCTGATGTCATTTCATTGGGAAATGCTTGATTAATTTCTATTCAACCCACGGCCCTAGTAAACACCGAAGAAACACCCCCCAGACTCGCGACCCCAGTCAGCACCAACCACAGAAATTCCAGGCTGGCTGCACAGGTGCTCCTGAACCGGTCTTCCGGGATGCGGGCCCAAGCCGTCTCTGTCGCCTGTCCCTGGGCGCTCTCAAACGACTGACCCTGTAGTTCCACCGCGACGCGACCCAAAAACAGCGTCCCGCTAACAGTAACAGCAAGACACATCCCCACCGTCCGAAAAAGCGCGCACATCAGCAGCGCACTCGTAGGGTTGACGCTTCTCTCCTCCTGCTCGCCGTAATCCCTCGGCACGGGCGCCGGCCGCAGACACTTTTTGAATCCCGACATCAAGCATCCGTGCCCCGTGCCTGTGGCCAAGAGGACGAGGATCCATCCGGCGGTTGGGGTGGTCGCGTCCAGTGTTACGAGACACCCCGTGCAGAGGATGAGAAGCATCCATCCGACGCGGACCAGCCAGAAACAGTGTCGCCGGTTGTCGAGGACGGCGAGCTTCTCTGTCAGAGTTAGGGTGAGGAGGGCGAGGGCAATTATCGAGGCGAGGCTGGCGGCGGTTAATGGGAGGGGGAGCGCTCGGACGAAGATGAAGTATATGGTTAGATTTTGGAGGTGGTAGAAGAGCTATGCGATTGCAATTAGCGATGAGGCAATTGGGAGGGGGGCAGGGACTAACCGTGAACCCGTGCAGGAAGCTGCCGGCGTACATCATCAGCACAGGGAGAGTGCCGAAATCGTTCCTGTGGAAGAATGGCCGAAAGGCCCAGTTCGTTTCGTATACGGCTAGCACGAGGATCGAGGATGCCCCGATAGCGAGGGGCGTCAGAACCCGCCAGTCGCTCCAGGGGTAGCTTGTTCCGCCCCAGCTGATTCCTATTAGCAGCGAGCAGAGGGCCAGGAGAGTCAGCACGCCGCCCAGCCAGTCCATTTTCAACAACGTCCGCGATGAGATCCCCCTGTGGCCTCGCAGCTCAATTGCGAAGGGGATGACGAGCATGCCGAGCGCACAGAAGAAGAAGCTCGAGTAGAACGCGCCGCGCCAGGCGATGTACTCGTACAACAAGCTGCCCATGACCAGGCCGAGGATGGCGCCCGCCAGGCGGACCCGGGAGACATAGTTTGAGAAGCGTATGAGGTGTTTGTCGGGGATGTTCTCTGCGAGGCAGAGCAGCGAGACAGAGACCACGCCCCCTCCGCCGAGGCCTTGTATGAATCGACCGGCGACGAGCTCGGATAGTTGCAGGGAGCCACCGCATACTCCTGTCCCGACTGTTGAGAGGACAGATGCCGCGACCAACAGTGGCCCGTGTCCGATGACCTCGGCGAGTATCGAAAAGAAGATCTGTCCTGCTGCGCTGGCGAGAAGGTAGCATGAGTTGAGCCAGAGGGTGCTGCTGAGGGGTTCTCCAAATGTGAGTGATAAGCCCTGGCCAGTCGTTAAGAGGGGAGTCAGCGGTGTGTCTTGGAGCGCTTACCGGGATGAATGGTATGACCATTGTCGCGTCAAATGCGACCAGCATCGTCAAGATCGATATACAGATCAGAACGAGCCACTCCTTGACTCGGGGCCTCCATTCTCTGCTCCCTGGGTTTGCGACCGCCACGGACAGCTCGACCGTGTCAGTATAGGAAAACGTATCGTCATCGTAGCTGTGGAATGCTGTGCCGGACTTGAAGTGGTCTCTGGTGGTGTTCGCAGTGTAGTCTGTGTCAATGGATTCTACACCCATTTGGTGTGGTTGCGGAGGTCAAGACATAGATGGCGCCGGTGTCAGTAGACAAGTGTCCTGGAGAATGATGAGAGAACTACCCGAGGAGAATTATGGTCGAAGGCATATTTATCAACGACAAGATCGGAAAAGACCCGGTTTCCTCATGGTGGCTTACTGCAAAAGCATCATTAATTCTCCGCAAGGGATGCACTGATGATAGACCCTCGACATGGAAAGTCGTGCGCACAGATGCTCACATGGTGGAGTCTGGATTATTTATGCCAGGAATAGAGAAAGAAGGAGTTGAAACTGGTCTTGAGGCTGAGCCCTTGATTCAAGCTCCAGTGGAGTCGTCGTCCGCATATTTTCCTGCATTCCTGATGCGTTATTCCGTTGAGTGTTCGACCACGCAGGATTTGTCGATATGGCGCACGGATCGTGCAAGGAGTTCCTAGATGACCTAATAATCTTGTTTAACTCGAGTCTGGAATGTAGGAGGCTCAATATTCGCCGTTTCGAATCATCCGTGCAACTGCCAAGTTCAGTCGGTATTGCAGTCGCTATTGTTGGAGTCACGACGTTCTGTTGCTAAAGTCATGAACAATTAGGCCATTGAACGGGAATCCAATGATGAAACTAATTTTCATTCTCACTTGCACCTATTGGGAAAGTTAGCAAAGCAGCTGGAAAGAATAGCCAGCACAACAGAGAACGACATAGTTTCCTTCCGTTGCCCAATCTGCAATCGAGACAATATATCCAGATATCGATGTACATAACATTCGTGTTCTATGCGTAAATATGTACAGTCATGGCGAACAAGTCGAGACTTGACAACCTCAAATATGTATAAACAACATGGATAATCTCTCACTCAAACTTCTCGCGAGATGGTGGTCTCGAGAGACGCGATTGATCGAGAGATGACTTGGTGCTATGTGCTGTGCTGACAGCATGGAAGGAAAAGTCAAGCTCTCCCACGAGAGCTTTCACATTTCTATCAAACCGGTTTTAGCATGTCATCAAACATAGACGATGTCTGACTCACCTCATCAATCTCTCCACGTCTCCGACGATGCATCTGGTCGAGATCTGCAGTACAGAAAACGTGGCAAATCCCGGCTCTGCGACGTGCTTGATGCTGAGAATGTCTTTGTCGAGCGCTTCTAATCTCCTTGTGAAACTGTACGGTCGGGGAGTCTTCAGGTAGGGCGGCAGAGGCTGTCGGTTCGTAATACTCGCTGACAGAAGACACAGAACAGAGGTCACCTCGTGAGTCGTTACGCGAGCACTGGACACCAGTCTTTTGAAGTCGTGAAGCCAGTCCGAATTGGATGCGTGGGGGTCATCGCTTATCTGCAAAAGAGTGTCCGAGGCATAGCCTAGCAAACTCAGATAATTTACGATACTTTCGAACGTCAGTTGTAAGGCACTGTGGGTGAAGTGAGATGGGGCTGTACTTCTCGATCGATGATATAATAGCCTGGTATCGCTTCTTGGGAAACCGACCTCCGATAGGCACCTCCCATTTCAGAAACTCCGAAGATGTTCGCAAGCCATTCAACATCAACATCTGCTTAGAAAACACTTTGCCTCGCGCTTTTTGCAGCCTTCGCCCTGCTGACGTTTTCAAGGCCAGATCACCTTCGTCATCCCGCAAACGCGCGGACACGGACTCGTGGATGATGGAATAATAATTCGCCAGTAGATAAAGCGAAGCTCCAAGGCTCTGGCGAAGGACTCCATGCTCGGAGATTGGAAATGGGAAAAATGTCCAGAAAAATGCCACCGCGATACCTGCGGCCACGATGGCCAGACGATATGGAGCAAGAAGATAAATGGGATAGTAGGCCTGGCCGTTAGATGTCGCAGCCTGTTGCCCAACCTTGCGCACCTGAAGTTCATAGCCGATGATCATGGAAGTGGTGATGATGACGATAATCCCGACGACCCGAAAGCGGAAATGCTTGATAGGGACATAAAACCCACAGGCAACAAAGAGCCAGAAGAAGACGATGATGCCCGGTGTCTTTTGGCCTGGAATATACCATGCCAAAAAGCTGAGAACCATGGCTATCACTGTGCCAATCAGACGAAGCACAAAGCCGAAAATGCTCTGTCCCGCGGTCGGTGACATGCTGATGTTGACCATGATCATGGCCCAGACCAGACGCTGATGGATGAAGAAGGTCTGAGTCTGATGAAGTAGGCCAAGCACGTAGATAGTCATAGTAGCGCAAGCCACTCGAAATCCGTAAGCTGACTCTGATGAACGCAGCAGCCAGGGTATTACCCTGATTTTGTCGCCGATCTTCTGAATGGTGGTTTCAGGAGGCAAATGCTCAGGATCCTTCCTGTGCCTGTACGCTTCACCAAGCTGAAGGATATGGTTCTGCGTGTGGATATCGCCCAAGTGATCATCTTCGTGAGTATCCTCCGCCTGAAGTATACTGCGTAACCACTTCAGTAAGCGTTTAGCACCAGGAATGATCAGCCGTGATCTTGACAGCTTTCCGCTTTTGACTTTCTCATCGGCGAAATGGATGAAATCTAGTACTGTATGGCCTGTCGAGTAGAGTAGTTGTTCCATCTAATTTAAGGTGTTAGCACGGAAATGCGAGCAAGTTGCCTTCTGCACCTACATAAAGAAAAAGAAAGAGCTGCCGACGACTCCTATCGCGACCGACCCCGGATTTGTCTAGTAGGAATTCGTCCAGGTCGGGCAAGTCAGAAGAAGGACGCTCGAAGAAATCCGGTGGTAAGGTGATGCCCTTCTCCTCACTCCAGGTCCTCAGAGCGAGTCGTTTTGCCACCTTAAAGTCGCTGAGCTTTCGCTCATAATAAGCCGCGAACCC